GACCGAGCAGAATAAAAATTTGGACGGCGCAATTCAAGTCATATTTTTACCTTCCGTCTGTCTGAAGAATACATTGTCATTTAATGATAAACTAACTTCAACCGTATCTCTTGATTCCAAAACAGGATCTGACATCAGCCTGTAAGGGCATATCATTTTGAGTGAATAAGTAATTAAATCATGTATAAAAACGTACTTTGTTCTGCTTAAATAGGTAAGCTATTCCACCAGTTAGGCTTGACACCGCTTTTTCTTTCGCCTTCAACAGAGCGGGTAAGTTTAGTTTGCAACTTTCAATATCGATCCCACGGTGCCGGATTTCCTCGGAGTTTACAAGATGATATAAATGCGAATTGTTTAGTAGCGATTTGCTGGGAATACAACCAACATTTAAACAAGTTCCGCCCAGGGTGTCATTCTTTTCTACACACACCGTCTGCCGAGAAAATAATTATAATTATACTGATAATATTTTGCAAACAAACCTTCATGCCCAATTGCGCAGCCTTAATGGAGGCAACATAACCTCCTGGACCCGATCCAATGACAACAACATCAGCCTTAAGACGATGAGCTACAGACAGAAGTTTAATGGTTGTCCGTAGGCGCTACCTGAAAATGAGAATCCCCTTGAAACAGACCTTAAGGTTGATTTTATGTGGTGGATCTAGAAGAGGATTTGATTTTTTAAGCGTAAATACATACGGTGAGGAGTCTGACCATTTTTGCTACACAACCTTCACCTGCTTGTAACGGCAATACCGGATTCAGCGCTAATACCCGAGTATACCAAAATCCAATAATTTTAGAATGGGTTAATATAAACCGATTGAATTTTCTTTACTCACTTCTTGCTGCGTCGGGTAAAGTGGGGTAGTTTCCTGAATAATATTCTAATTATCTTATGGTGGTTATCTCTCTTTAGCTTTCACCTATCGTGGTCGTAGGGTTTGTTTAAGATACTACCTCATGGCCCTGTAGCCTGCTCCGATGTAGTAAACGTAGGAGCGATCTCGTTGTTCCGTAGTACCCTGAAAGACTAGACCGACAGCTATTATTTCAATGGTTATTCTTTTAGATAAGATGCCCAAATATATACTTCATACCATTTTTTGACAAGAATGTTAAAGAATATTTGTGCAGCGCTAAACTGATTTTTATTAGATATCATCGAGAAGTGTTTTATGAAGACTTATAGCGGCTGCATATGTAATATTAGAAAGTATCTAACTAATGAAAAAATATTATACTCCCAATATTTATATGCTTCTCGTAACCGTAACCTCAGTAGTGTATATTTTTATATGTGTTCACCATGTACGAATGTCGGATCCGTGTTTTACTGGAGGCTAAACATAGACTACAGACTCATTACGTTTTCTCTTTAGAGAATGTGTCTACGCGGGTAGCCCTTAACATATGAAGGGGTACTGAATTACACTTTTGACGAATATATGCGATAGCCCGTAATCAGATAGCAAGCACATAGTTCTCAACTTTCAGGGTCATTTGTACATAACTTTCTTAAACCGCTCCTAAAGGCTGAAAAACGAAGGCTCGCTAGTCATCTGGAGGTTCTTATAAAGTAATTGTGGGTCCTTCTAACCAGTTGAAAGAATGAATCTGGTTCCCTCAGGGTATTTTTATGAGAGGGATTTCAAAGATATTACAGTATCTAACAAATTCGTACGTATTAGGTGCAAAGCAAATTATTTCGTTCTGTTCACTTATGTCTTCCGTAGATTCCGATAACGGCAGTTCTTCCATTCCTTCTAATTAGTCCTCATGATACTAAATTTTTCGGGGCCCGACGCTTATTAACGCATTTTCATCAAAGCATTGATATTTCTGAAACTAGAAACAGTTAGATTATAATGCAGTTGACTAGCTGACTGTGATGCAAAAATTCAGCATTTTAAATCCAGAGGAGTGTCGGGAGGGCGGAAATAAATAGAAATGAGTGAATCAGTTGGTGTAAGAACAGATAAACGGAGATGATAAAAATATAAATCAATTGTAGAGCCTTATTATGATTAAAGTCGTCATGACAATGATAATTTAGAAACTGAGGGATATAGAGAAGGTCATTTCTTGTGCTATGTTACGATGAGTTTATGTTTGTCTAAACTATCCAGACATGTGATCTTGTACAAATTGTAGCTTTGGCGAACGCCTATATGATCCAAGTCTGAGCAGAAACCGTTTCACAAATCGCGAAAATGAAAAAAGAAGAAATACGACCAGCAGAGCTTACAAAAATAAGTGGGTGACAAGGCCTAGTTATTTGCAGTATATCAAATGAAGGCATTTTTAGTTAATAGGTGGAGCTCAAACTAGTGATTAACTTAAAAACGGGACTATTGTTGAGGAAAGTATAGATGGATAGTAGGAATTAAATAAAATATATGGTTATCAGTAACAATGAGACGGGTTTCAGCTGACGGAAGAGAAGCAGAAGTGTAAAGTGCGACAAATCTTCACTGATTTCAAAAAAGTAACGGAAAAATGCAATGTTTACATATTTCCAAATAATTATATCTTTGTGGCTTTTTATTGGTTCTCCTTTTTATCACTGTTATTGAATGCCAACGTTATAGTCAGCCCGGGAGTCCAAATTTACTCGTCATAGGTCGTACTGGCGGAATAGTACAAATTTTATGCATCCGAAAGTTCAACTATTTATTCTTACAAACAAAAACCTATTGAGTTTGACAAAACTAAGTGATAACCCAAGATACAAGTGCAAATGAAGGTTTATTAATGCTTTGAAGGGCGTTCCCATAGTAAGCTTCCACGGAACGAAATACACTTATTTATACACTAATTTGATACGCACTTGACTGCCGGTTAATTAACATCATATAAACAAAATGTATAGTGAGTCAAGTTATCTGGATCTAGTTTTGCTTTGCAGGTTGCATTAAACTAAGGCTTATTTTATTGCTGATTATTGTCACTTGCATTCCCCGTCAAATATAAGTGCTCTTTGTGCACTTGCTTCGCGTTCATCTCACCCTTTCTTATATTCCTTTATCCATATCTCCTTAACTACGCCACTCTGCACGCTGAGTAATGTACCATAACTGGGATTAAAATCGTTAAGAGAGCGGAAGTGTATTTCCATGCACACTCGTCTCTGTTAGCCATAAATAAATTAAGATACTTATTTCTATTCGTCCAATTGTGAACCTGTTTTCTGATGAATATAAACTAGTTAGCTTCAGGCGAACAACATTCTATAAATCTTATTACAGAAGTTTCATCGATCGACAGCAGATCAAATGAGCAGCATTCGCTATCCTGTAATTTTTAGGGTTTCAGCCTTCTCTTTAATTGACTTTGCTTGCAAAACCTATAGAGGGTGAATTAGTGCACAGAATACCTACAGTGCTGTTTTTGAGAATAAATTGTTATTATTATTCTTAGTATCAGAGCAACCAAAGCCTTCAGGTCTGTTTGGGATTCTTCTGAATGTCAACTAATAGGTAGTTTAGTAAATTTCGAAGCACATATAGCCCGTTTGGGAGCAAAGTAAAAATGAAGCCTGACCTAGACAGTCATTAACAATCCTATTTCTTCTGGATAGGTATATAAAAGAACATAGCCCAATGTTTCACAGACATCATAGGATTTTATGGTAGCCTAAAATGGCAGCCAAGATGATCTTGACATGCTCGGCATTTGGATGAATAGGATCTTTGAAATTCCGACAGCCAGTGAGGAGTCAGATGATGACGATGACAGTATCGTCTAGGCAGGGTGCTAACTATTTTAACTACTGAAGATTCTTGAGATAGAACTGCATGTTCGAGGTGCAGCAAGCTTAATCATTCTGTCTGCTCTGTACATTAGGCGATGGGCAGGTACTGCATAATGATTGGTACAATGGTACACGATAATCAGACCTGTAAGTGGAGCACATTTCTTTTTCTGCTAGTATGAATTTATTTACTAATCTAAACCAATTGAAATTGATAACTACAGTGCGTTTGGTGACCTCACAGAATGGGTTCCTGTTGTCCAGATCATGCGATACGTGCCTAATGGACTATCTGAATGATACAGCTCAAAAACAAGACTAACAGCTTTTAGTATCAGCCCTATTCTTTGACTTTCAGAGAGCCTTTGATAAGGCCCCGTACAAGAGGCTTCTCGTCAAACCAAAGTCAATCGGAATCAGTAACTCATTAGATTTGTGGTTCACTTCATTCCTAAATAACCGCCAACAAATGGTAAAGTACAGCAGTTGACTTTCATCACCCAGACTAATAAACAGTGGAGTTATCTAGAGAATTATATAACTCCTGTTATTATTTCCTATGTACATAAACGGCATGTGTGGAACCATAAAATTCGGAAGACCATACCTATAAGCGGATGACCTCAAAACGAAAACATCGAAATATTCCAAAGTTGAAAGGTTTTGGGCAGAAATAATAAACTTATTGTCTCTTGGGTTTTTTCCATCTGGACTGTATTTCAGGATTACTGATAAATCTGATTGTTGTGATTTTACTTCAGAAATAGAAGGGTTAAACGAGTATTTTAGTAATAGCTCTGTATGCTGAATTTTAGTTATTTCCATAACTAATTGTAGTTATGTCATAACTAACCAATCAAATTGTGGTTTAAGCGCCCATCACGTGATCCGACCTGACGTGTCCGTAAACTTTCTTTGTTGTAAATGACCTAATAATTGGAGGACATCATTATCGTATTATATTGATGTGACTCGTTGTTTTATTCATATCCATAAGACACGTTATATTGGTCGGTATGTTTGCTCGTCTTACTTGGTAATTGTGATTTCCTTATTTATTGTACTAATTTAATTGTTTTTATATTTAGAAACAGATGAAGTTTAAGGCTAAAGTTGATTTTGTTCTGACTATAGCTTTCCCATAGACTCTGTGCTCGCCAATATTGCGTTTACCGTTGTAGAATTATATCTGTAGGACAAATTAAATCCTACACTGAACACTTCGAAAAGTGGTAAAAAAGACAAAATGACGGCAACGGAACTGGTACAGAAAAAGCATCTACTGCAGATTGCAAAGACAATGGGAAATGATGAAGTATACACTGGCCTTGACTTTGAAACAACTACGAGTTTTCAACCAGTTCTTAGCTAATTAGCCTTCATAAGTAGATAGTTTTAAATAAACTGGACAAAGTTACTGCAAAGTGTGAGACTATGTAATCCGATTAATAAATCTGTGGTGTGCATTACTCCGTAGCCCTAGAATGAATGGAGTTTGCGTAAATATACTAGGGACACTCTGATTAGATAACCCATCATATTTAGTACCACCACCTCAGTTCCATAGTGAGGTCTGTTAATGATCTTTCTGAATGAGTGTTGTTACATCACGAAAAAGTTTTGTTTCTAAATACCTTGAACTGCACTGAAACAACAAGGAGTGAGCGCAAGGGAATTAACTGGTTCGAACTGGCTCATGAGAAACATATTTCCTCTAGTCTAAACCATTTGTGAACACTAAGATGATATTTAAAGTAGTGCTTTTGGCAGACATAAAACAACCTGTCATCTTTATTTCCTTTGTCTAGGTAACTAATGTTGATTGTAAATTGAATGACCAAATGTACGTGATTCAATTTCCAAGGTGAAGTCTCCTCCGGAGCTTTCAATGAGTAATTGTTTTTAACCAAGCTCTCTAGCGACCATAGGAGCTCTGCAAATTGAAACCATCTTACTTAAGAATTCCATTGATGTTGGGACGTACAGTTAAATGTAGACAGTTACAGCATATATTTTCATAGCTGT